AACATTAATTCCAGAGAACTCTGTTATCAGCCCCAGTAAATGAAACCATATTCATGGCAACTGACCCAGATCTGCACAGAACATAAAGGTTCAGCAAAGAAAGACCATCCGACTCTTCTTTTAACAGGGAATTACAGTTACCCTGTTAGTGATAGCCTAATACAGGGGTTCTCAATTTCTACATTAAAAGGTCCAAATCTGAATTTTTATTTAAGTCAAGTGTATGAAACAATTGATATTACATAACTTGTTTTTAATAAACATTCATAAGATGCACAGAGGCAGCATGGTGGCGCAGTGGGTAGCACAATCGCATCACAGCAGGAAGGTCACTGATTCGAGCTGGCTTGTGGCAAAAAATAAACACATACTTATCAGTTCATTCAACTTTGAACTGTCTATTCTCTTCAAGTTTTTTTTCCGTTAGGCTGACATTTTCATCCATTCAAATGATCGCTTTGCTGCAGTGTGTTAAAGCAGGCGCGCGCATGCGATTATCCAGCTTGATCATGATTAGGCCCGGCCCTAACCAATTTGGAGCCCTAGGCAAGATTTCAGGTGAATTTTTGTAATTTCCACTGCTAGTGTACATATACTCAAAATAAACGTATTAGCTTTGTCTTGGACATTCTTTCATTTTAAATAAAGCAAGTGTACATTCAAAATACTCAGAAAGAAGTTTTTGCAACTGTGGGACACGATGACATAATATGCAGCCATTATGCATCGTGAAACCTGTGTAACCCCCTTTCATGCTGAAGTGTCGCACAGTGAGTTTTGCAAGTGGACAAAACTAAAATTAAAACAATATGATGATGATCTTATTTTATCTAAACATGCTATGAAGCAGAAAGGAGGGATGAAGAGTCAGGGAGGTAAGATTAGGCCTAAAACAGTTCACAATTCAGGTCTAAAAAGACAATTAATTCTCATTCATTTATTCATTCATTCATTTTCCTTTCGACTTTGTCCCTTTATTAACCAGGGGTCGCCACAGTGGAATGAACCACCATCTTAACCAGCATATGTTTTACACAGTGGATGCCTTTCCAGCTGCAACCCAATACTGGGAAACATCCATACACACTCATACACTACAGCCAATTTAGTTGATCAATTCCCCTATAGCGCATGTGTTTGGACTGTGGGGGAAACCAGAGCACCCGGAGGAAACACACGCCAACACGGGGAGAACATCCAAACTCCACACAGAAACACCAACTGACCAAGCCGTGGCTCGAACAAGCGACCTTCTTGCTGTGAGGTCACAGTGCTACCCACTGCGCTACCGTGCAGCCCACAGATAATTCTATAAAACATATTTTTTGTATCTTATGGAATTGTCAAATTAAATTAATATTCTTGCAAAAGACTTTTTAAATGATCTTAGTATATCACTCCAGTTGTGTCGTTGTGTTCCAGTTACATTTAGGACAAATTTCAGTTTTTTATTTAGAATATTAATTGTATAATAATAACAATAATAATACTTTTATTTAATTAAAATAAATCTAAATATTTTAATATATTTATTTATTAAAAATTATTATAAATAAATGTATGGTGGGGGGGCTTTTGAGGATAGGTGATGGTCCTGGTCATCAGTTCAGAAGACAATGATGACATCAGCATACAACTATGCATAATTCTAAATAATTTCTAAATGAAATTTTGAGATGATTAATTTTGTTATACACATATTCTTGCACTCTGTCATTGACTTCATATAAATAGACAATTTTCAAATCAGAAATGTGCCATTATCAGATTGTCTTTTGCATATTCAACATGTAGGGCAGATATATACTGCTGCTCACAATCAGTAAGGTTTATTCTCACACATAAGACTCACATTGTGGACACAGGCACACTTAATCCCTCCAATGTCTCTCATCAAAATATTACCTGAACATTAATTTTTACACAAACATCATTCTATCTTTAAGAAGATTATAATATTGCTTGAATTTGTGGACTTAGTCCAGTGATTATTCATTCTGAATGTTGACTGGATTTGAATATACCTCTATATTAAATCCATTTGTGCTTATATTGACTTAATATAATATGCAACTCCAAGCACCATTATTACAAAATTTTTGCTATCCCATCATTTTATTCCTGTAATTTTACACACTCTTTATACTCTCCTAACCCTCCCTCCCAAAATCAGAAGCTGATCTGGGATCTGGGATGACTTTATTATAGGCTACGGAAGGTGTCCGTCAGTCAGCATGCAGACTATACTGATTTAGAAGTTGTGACGATCGACGCACAGCTTTAATGGAAAGAAAGAGAATGCAGATGTTTTTATATTCATTTTAACACGCTATCAAGTCAAAATAAAGCACAATTCTCTTGAAATGCTTGAACAGCATTTCTGGTTACACGTTTAAGGTGATGACGTGCTGCTGCTGCTACCTGCAGGTCTGCTGCGGTGCCGTAAATAAAAGCTGGCATGCAGCCAGAGATTTCGCTAAACTCTTGTTATAGTTTCATGCTGTTATTTATTAATTTTTAATATCTTAATTTGTGTTGTTAATGATGTGGACTCGACTGGACTCGTGATATTTTCCGAATCCAAAATGTCCGAGTAAAAGTTTACCCAAGTCCGAGTCCAATCAAAACTGTACTCGAGTCCGGACTCGAGTCCGAGTCCAAGTTCGAGTACCCCAACACTAGTATTTCCATTTATTATGCCACTGTTATAACAGTTTCTTTTCAATGGGTTAAAGTTATAAAAAGACTGTTGAAATTAATACAAAAATCCGCTGTTTTTCTTACTTTTATGCTATTCAGGAGCCATGTGCAGACAGGTAAGATCTGCTTCTCTCTATCTCTCATTCATGTTCAGGTGGCTTTTCTGTACAAAATGTCATGCCAATATTGGTAAAGCATTTTAGATGTATAAAACATGTAATATATTGACATCATCCAATTAATAAAATATAAAGCAAATGAGAAATGAATAAAATAAAGAAATGAAGACAAACAATATCTCTAATAATTACAAGAATAAAAAGTGTAGATTATTTAAATAAGATTATATTGGGCAGATACAAAAAAGTAATAGGTAGGGATGCACCGATCCCGATACTTGGATTGGATATGGGTTCGATACCGCATTTTTTTGCTGGATTAAGTATCGGCCAGCTGGTACCGATGCAAATCCGATCTTGCGTGTGTGCTATATTCAGTGTAATTTATCAGCCAACAAAAGCCAATTATAAGTCCCTAGAAAGTTGTCATGTAGGGCTACTATATCCCAAAGGATCTGAAGCCATTTTACAGTTTAATGTGAAGTACAGATGAGTACTCAAGTGCCTAAATTCATGTTCAGTTCAACGCTTCCCTCCACTGTGCCTGTCAATCATTCTCCGTTCATTCAAACTTCAAACATTCAAACTGTGTGTCTCGTTTATGACAACACGAAAAACTCCAAGGCTAATTTTCTGTAGACCAGCAGATAGCATTTACAACACTGGAGTAAAGAGGGTTATTACCTGCTCTTCACACCTCCAGGCCTACCTGGAATTTTGAATTAAAAAAGGCTTAATAATACATTAGACAGATCCTAAACGCACTGATTTCTTCCCTTTGGGCTGCTGTTTTGGAAGTGCTCGCAGATACCGGAGGCCTGCGCCTGTGTCTCAGTGACGCTTTATTCGTGCACCGGCTGCTCATAGGCAAAGTGCGACACTCCGTAAAATTATTCTCACAATAAGTTTGTTCGCTCATCCTCCCAGTTTATTCTTTCGAGGTGAATACTTTAAGTGCAGTAAAAGATTGTGAAGCCTGGCTCATTGTGGTCAAAGTAGTTGATTAAATTAATTAATGTGAAACTGACCGGTGTAATACGGATTGTCAGTAACAGAAAATGATTTACCCTAATATAGGCTACTCTTAAAACTGTGAATATTTCACTTTAATTTTATTTATATTAATATTTTATTAAACAGACCCGTTTGTCAGTTTGTGCGCTGACCTTGTTTTGAACTTCACCTTAAATCTTCTCATTTATTTTGTAGATAACTGACCAACAAAAATATATTAAAATAACCAACAATTTATACCAAACGAAATAAGTTTCAAAAAGTTTTTTCAGACAAAAAATTATTTTTCAGACATGCTTTCAGTTAGTCCGTCTCACTCATGACAAGTTTAGGCGAGGGAAAGTTTATTAAGTAAAACTGTTCTCAGACTGTTTAGTTTAAGGAAAATATTAGGCTTTGCTAAAAGGCCAGTTATTTTATCCACGATAAGCATCAATTGTTTTAGCTTATTACAGATTTCAAAGAAAAAAATTAATTTTTAAAAAAGGAAACAAAAGCTGGACCACAACAGATCTTTTCAATGTCATAACGAATGCTCAAACAATGTAGTCTATATTTTATAGCAAGAATCATGTTTTTAGTTAGATTGTGTCGTCTGTCATATACAGTAGGCCTGTAGGTGTGTTATTTTTACTAAAGAAGATTTATTATTTGAGTTTATCACCGAACTATAGAAACTGTATTATGTTTAAAAAACAAACAAACAAAAAAGACACAGTAACGGGATTAGATCTGTATCGGTCGATAGTCCGAATTTTGGTATTGAGATCGAATCGGTTCCAAAAAAATATATATCGGTCCATCCCCAGTCAAAGGGTGATAATAATAGTAAAAAAAAAAAAAAAGTGACACGTGGCTGGATTAAATATACCTGTATATAAGTAAAGTCTATGTGTGGGAAGCACTGAAGAGTAATTTAAAGAGAAAAAACAAATCATCAACATTTTCTATAAACGTAAATCTTTGGGAAGCAACCGATCAAAGCTATTGTTGTTTGAAGCATAAATTCAATTAATCTTGTTCAGTTTTACAAAAAACAAACAAAAAAACCTTAATTCGTTTACTGATTCAACTTTATGAATTTAAGACTTTCTTCTCTAATTTAAGACCTTTTTAAGAAACCTCCTTTACACACTGATTAACATGCAATAAAAAAAACCCACTCACTGGGTTAAGTAGCACAGTGAGAAAAAGCTCTCCTCCATATATGAGTTTGTCCAATTCTTTAGAGCCTCCAGGATATTCATTGTAGAAGATGGTGTGAGTAAAGAGACCACAAGTCTGTCTGGGTAAAACCTGAAACACACAAACAGTTCCTTTCAGTGTGTAATTCAACAACATTTGGGGGGAAAATAATATACAATATACATATCTGTGACTGACTATTGCCTTTTACAATATATAAAAAAGACATGCCAGTGTGTCTCAACCGCATTCCTTGAGGACCACAGCTCTGCACATTTTCTAAGTCTCCTTAACAAACACACCTAATTCAGATTATCAGCTCATTAGCAAAGACTGAAAGACCTGAAATGGGTGTGACAGACAAAGGAGACATACAAATCATGCAGTGCTGGTGGTTGTGGAACGTGGTTGAGAAACACTGACATATTAGCAACCTATTAGTTGATTAAACTAGCTTCTTTGGTACATACAATCATGCCCTTTTATCAATGTCCTAAGATTGAACATTTTTGGGAAGTTTTATTAAATGTCTTGGAAGATTTGACATTATACTCTTACCCTAGACTTGAAAACTGGGATATATGCTCGTGCCATCAGGCAGGCGTTACAGAAGCCTGAGGAACAAATCAGTGCAGTTTCGTGATAGTTTTTATTCTGTCTTTACAGGACTTTTGAATAATACCAACACTATTGATAGCTAGAATGAAAAAATAAATCAATAAAGAGTTGAACTAGCATAGATTGTGAATATTACAACTATTATAACAAATGGTGAAATAGGTATTTAAGTATTAAGTTATTCTCTTCAGAGATTTTTTAAATTGGGATATGTTTTATACAACTATATTTGTTATATATTTATGAAACTATAAAAGCTTTTTTATTATGTTAGGATTTTATAGTGTTTGTATATTGATGTTTTTTATGTTCTTGTTTGGTCTGATGCAACATAATTTGGTTCTGTATTACAATTTTATTGAAGAAACTGAACTGAAGAAATAAAGATTTTTTTAAGACAACAAATAAAAAAAACACAAAATTAACTTCTACGCAGATTTTAAAAGGGTTAAGAAGTTCTTGTAAGCTTAATGATTTAATAAAAGCTCTGCAGAAAACGTCCTTTTTTGATATTATTTGATATATGGGAATTCACAGCTGCATATGTGAAAACCCAAAAACATATTGCGTTTGGTCACCCATAACAACACGTAATCTCATCTGAGAGTCACTTTTGTCTGCAATGGGAACTGCATGACTGTATGACCTCAGTGCTGAAAATTGAAGGACAATAACTGGAGGATGTCCCGCAAGAGCTCACAAATAATGAACTGAAGGAATGTTTGTGCTCTTAGAGAACAGCAAACCCAGCATTGTGGCCCGTGCATCTGAATGCATGATCTAATTAGACATCAAGTGATGGTTGAATGGAGCTAATAGTAGCATGTCATGAATGCTTATACCACACGTCTGTTTCCTCATGCATGTTTGTCCTTACTTGATATGAGCGTTGGGAAATAGCTGTATGTCAGCCTCAGGAAATGTTACATGGTAATGTGTGTTAGATGGTGTGTTTAAAAAAAAATAATAATAATAATATTATAGATGTAGTTTATGATTCCCAAGATGTTTTTTGTCAGCCTATGGTGGCCAGTTGAAATGCATTCTTACACACACACACACACACACACACACAAAGCGCTCTGTCATGATTCAGCGAGCTTTTGTCATACTCTTTACATCGTCCCCTGAAGCAATGCACAACTGATAAAAAAAAAAAGAAGTAAAAAAATAAAACTGTACTTTCACAAACAGTTTGCCCTTAACCCCCTGCTGGGACTCAAAGCTCAAACCGAACACAACATAGCCTGGGGTTTATTGTTCTATTCCAGTCGGAAAAAGAATTCAACATGCTACCATTTAAGAATACAACCATAAAGTCTGAATAAAAATACAAGATGTTTTTATTCACACAGAATTTGGAGCCTTAGTGCAGCGGTATTTGGAAAAAAAAATGTTTTTGGTAACATGCGGCTGTGTTGATAAAGTAAAAATGGTAAAATTACTAAATTATTAAAAACTCATTACAAACATACACTGTTTTAAAAACATTTTAAACTTGTCAAAGTCATTCTTAATCACATTTGATGCTGATTGATGATCACAAAGCTTAACAAATCTTTTAATCCTAGTTGCTTTGCGCATTTCCTGCCTTGTTAATATTATTATACATGTTACAACGGAGACGTGTTAATACGTGGCTGTTAATCAATTGCCGGTGGGAAAACTGCACTCCTACATCATGCTGCAGTCGGCCTCAAAATGGGAGGGGTTTGGATCCTATTTTAACGCCAGGAAATAAAAAAAAAAAAAGTATATAGTCTTTATATCACCCCAATATGACTGTGGACACACTATACTGTACCTACACACAGTTATGTCCAAACAGCTCCCAAAAGATGATTTTCATCATAGGTGCCCTTTAAGACCTTTTTAAGCCCCTTATAAATTAAATTTCAGACTTACACAAGGCTAAACACTAAGGATTTTTTTCTAATAGCCCAGTTAAAACATAAAAAACCCGTTATTGTAAGGAAGATAATTAAAACGTATTGGTAAATAGTGTTAATAAATAAACTTTTGGTAAAACTTTTATTGACATAGAATGTTAGTGGTTGGATGCGTGTTGGCCCAATTGTGTAGTTTTACATGGACATAGGAAAATGAAGACCTATTTACAATTATTTAAGCCTTATAACATAATATTTCAGTGGTAAATAAAAGTTTTACTTATGTTTAAACTTTTATTGAGATGGAATGTTAGTGATTGGATGCGTGTTGGTCCGACAGGGTAGTTTTACATGGACATAGTGAAATTAAGACCTGTTTACAATCATTTAAGCCTTAGAACACAATATTTCAGTGATTGTAAGTTTTTTTTAAGGCCTAAAACTTACTTTTTGGAACTTAAGACGTTTTAAGACTCAAGACCCTGCGGATAACCTGTTAATTAGTTCTCTTTATTTTGTATGAAAATCTGAATAATTTAGATTTTTCTCCATGACTTGTTGGACATTTTCAATAGAAAAGGTGTCTAGTTAAATATGGAAAAAAAATCTGAGACAAAGTCTTAACATTTGCATGTAATGGGCCTTAGAAGGGGCTTCAGTAACATGATCTTAAATAGGGTCCCTCAACTAATTAAAGCTTTCTGTAGAACTGCTGTTTTAAAATCAGCATATACTGTAGTTTCACACCAAACAACATGGTTTTCGTCGTTTGGTGTGAAAACATAGATTTGCTATGTTTTTAGAAATATATGGATGTAAAATTAGGCCTGAGGTATTTGTTGTATTTAATGACTTTATGATTTACTTTAATTAATAAAAGCAGTCATTTACTGAACTATGCTTGAAACACACCATAGGACAGTTTTGAGATTTGGCTCAAATATATATGTTTGAGGCAAATTATGCTACTGCATTATTGCCAAAATATTTATGTGTGTATATATATATATATATATATATATATATATATATATAAAATGCAATAAATATATTTTTTT